AGATAAAAAATTTATTGTCATCATTAATTTTTTTTTTTCAACTCGTCATTTGCTGATATATAAATTTTCATTTTTCATTTTTAGTTTTATTCTTTGCCACCTTGATATCCTTGTAATGGCAGCACTGACTTTCGTCAAAATATTCGCAAGGGATAGGGAAATCTAAATGTCATATATGACATATAGGTTTTCTAAAGTTAACAGTGCCGTGTTTTTCGGGCGCTTGAGTCCCCTCCAAAATTCCACGAAGAGGATCCTTTGGCGCTGCTAATTGCGAGTCGCCGCTTTGTGGAGACGCCTTGTTGCGATCGAACGCCCCACTGATTCGAGTTCTCGACAAAGCGAGAATGGCTACGGTATTTAGCCAATAAGCGTATATACGCAAGGGAAATGGGTCAAAGGGCAAGAATTACGGGTGCACTGTTTCTGTCAAAGAAATTTTTTAAAATCACCCACATCCATTTATTGTTAGAACCACAAGCAAAACCAGTAACGATTATCAAAACGAAAAAAAAACATTCGCAGATGTAACTGGGTTAAAGAAACAGGAGAAGAAGAAGGGAAAAGTAAAATCGTTAATTGCTTCTTATTGGAAATCGAATGATTGATATGCAACATCAGATGAAAACAAAATTTGTAAACCAAATTCCAATATCAGGGCCCGTGTCTACGTTATACCCGGTAACTTGAAAACTTTTTACATTAATCCTCGGTTCGACGTGACCCAATGTGCACTGCCTATTCAATTTTCAGATTTACTCGGTATGCATGATATTCGCGTAGAAAATGAAGTTGAGCATTTGTTATACCTTTTTTTTTTTGCAAAAAAAAATTATAGAGCAACCAAAAAAAATTGAGAATACTTTTAATCACTCAGCACTATTGATATTTGCTCTGTAACCTTTTCAGCAGTGTTTTCGATCATAAGTAGTAGCAGTCCATCGACAACGGACATGGGTATTCCTTTCGCTATCACGTTTTGGTTTACCTTGCTATGTTTTCCACGTGACGTTTTCATGCTACGTATGCATCCACACGATTCTGCAAGGTGGTAAAACGTGAGCGTACAATTTCTTATAGTACCTACCGACCTATGCTATCCTAACCTAACCTCTAACCTTCCTAGATATACATACCTTTCTACGTACCTCTCTACATAGCAACGCATCTACAGACCGGAGATCCGGACGCGTCGTGCAAAAGGTAAAAGCTCAAAAAACCGAGTAGCATAATTTATAATGTAAAAAATCGAGCAAATACATTAAAAGGACTTTTCGCACGGATAAGATGGCTGGTAAATAGAGAACTTATCGGTATAATTTGTCATAGTTGGTTCCATTTGGTGAAACTTGTGTTTGAAAAAAAAAAATTTGATAAATCATATCAACGTTATTAAGGTAACCGTATTTTGGTAAAAAAATATTTGGAACGGCCTGTATATAGATTTTTGATATTCCCCAGGATTACCTGTATGATATCACCAAAATCACCTCCCGGCGCACTGAAGGTGAGTTTACAGATGTAAGGCACCTTGTCCTCCTTCGGCCGATGCAATTCCAGGTCGTAAGTTTTGCCGACCTCGCCGTAGTACGTTTTGTTGCAGGCTGCAACAACAAGAGCATCCAAGATGCCGGTACAATATTTCACCATGATTTATTGTGCCGCGTTCAGCGTTGGATATCGTCAACGACGAAATCCCAATACGTAAGAAACAGCCAGAGAATGCATTCCGGAGTTCAGCGAAGAGACAAGTGCATACCACAAGTACAGGAACTCCTCTATTTACGAAGAAACTTCGTATCCCACCCAGAGGGTGGGATCGGTACAGCGGTGAGGGGTGAAAATCGTGGAAAAAGAAAAAAGGAAAAAAGAAAGTCCCGGAAAGCCTGAAAGTATCGTAACTCCCGTTCTCGTCACAGCTAAAACTTTCGACTGATTCCAGAATGCGATCTTTGATCGGTAGAGAAATCGCAAATGCACTTGATACCAGTTGCACGGCTTCGCCATGCAACCCAATGCATCCTTCCTGGTATTATCCACAGTACGTACCGGAGTGCACCGACTGGAATGCATAGGAAATCCATTGTACGGCTTCGAGGGCTAATCAGTAACGAAGATTACGTAGCATATCTGGAGCTCGCAAATCAAATGGAATCGCATTGCGAATTCGAGTGGGCGAGTCCTACGATACACCGACGTCATTTTCAGCCCGGTCGAATTCGCTGTTACCCTCATTCCTCAGCCGAGTCCCAAATTTGCCCGGTTAATGGCACGACTGGAAACTATGCGTAAGGGTTCGTCTGACTTGTCTGACTACGACTTGACTGTTCTACTGTAAAGCGTTAATCCAACTCCTGGTAACACGTGTATTCGCCGAAAAAAAATTAACCAGCAATTCAGCCCTTGGTACTCACCAAGGTCCTTTCTAAGTCATTTGCGACCTGACCCCTAACCTTGAAATTTAGAGCAGATCATAGCTCATGATTTCTGGGAGTGTTCGTCATGGCCGCCATAAACCTTAAAGGTCGTCTTGTATAATATGCGCGTCAGTGAAAATCTTTCACTGAATTAGTCGGACGTAGGAAAATTGGTCTGACTGGCATGCGGAAGTTCTACTGGCATATTTAATGTGGCTGAACAAAGGAGTAACTTGCATCACTTGGTACAATATACAATATATATATATATGTATATATCGACGCTATATCTATATACTAGTGGTACAGTAACAATATATGTTTACATATAATATGTATACTCAATACTCTACTCCATCACTGCGTTCAGTAGTAAAGCCAGTAGGGTGGACCGTGTCCGACTAATGACTAGCCTCTTCTACTGGCACGGATCAACGCTCCGTTAATTAACGTAATAACATTCCCCATTGAAAGCCACTTAATTAAACTCCTGAAATTATTCGGGCAGTCGTATGGAGATTCCTACGAGGGAGGAATCGAAATGAGAGAATTACTTCGGAGCGGTCACTTTAAGTTGTTCATTATAATTACAATGAATATTCATCCATCCCCCAGCGATTTGACTACATTGAAAATTCACGCGTATTATTTATTTTCTCGGGTCTGAAGGAAACATCGAAAAAAAAAAAAATCTGGGAACGCAAAATAAATTTTAAAAAATTTATAAATTTATTCAATCGGATCAGATCTCCCAAAAAAAAAATGCACAATCTTTTTCACAGTATCGAGCACGATTTCCTTTTGCAGAATATACAATGTGTACCGAGCTTAAAGTCGAGGTCCTATTTTCATTGAACAGACAGACAAGATCGAACCTCGACGTATTCAAGTGAAGTCAAGATAACGTTATCCCGTTCGCATGTAACCACAGCCTCCATGCCTTGTCCCCATGCTTACCATATAGATACGCATACGCTGTAATCTCCCTGTACAAAAGGTCTGGTTATAGACGCACCTTTACCGCTTAGGGTACACTTTTGTGAGTTAGGGTGGATTTTTATATCAACCTTAGAGCGACGCGTCGCACAATTTCCTCGAAAGGGACGCGAAGTGCTTCGCAGACGCGGGCCGGCTTTCACGCGGGTAAACCGTCTGCGGGAAGAAGGGCGACCAGCCCGACCGTACTTCGACAGGAAGTGAAGGACCCGGGCTGAAGAGGTACGAACCGCAGGAGTAGATACGTACCGACGTTACGCAGACAGTACATATATAGTCATGTAACGTCCCCTGTACATAACCCTGTGAAAGAACGTGTCTGTACGATCCTGCGAAAGAAAAAAAAGTCTGACGAGAGACATACACGACTTTTTCTACCTATGTGTTTCAATGTCTCCTACCACCATTCCGTCCTTTCCTGTGAACTCGCCTTTGTACTCGTCGTAGTCCGTTACTTCATCCCAACGTCACACGCCACGTGTATACGACAGAGATAACCTACGTAAGTGAAAACGTCCTACGAATGTCCCTTGGATGTCCCATGAACTTATCGACGGACTCTACTTATATGTATACCTGCTGTGTATGCATATGTTACGTAATGAAGGTTTTGAACGCGTTCAGCGCTATACGCATTCCTGACCGAATTAACTGGGTCGTCTTCTAAGCGACACTATCTTGTGTCTTGAGAATGTATATATGAGGTATATGTATATATGTTTCTGGAGAGTCCGTGCAAAATCGATAAAACGAACAACGCATTCCTGAAACTCTAGTATACGGTTGGCATGAATCTGATCAGGTATAGTTATAACTATAGGTATACGCTTATGGGTATATAGTGTGTATGTATAATTAGTATGATTATAGCTAGTACTGATGAAGTATATAGTAGTGTGAAAATAGTAAAAAAAGATTTTTAAAAATTTTTTGCCATGCTTCAGACTTCAGAAATTTTTTTTGATCAAAAGAACAAGATATAATAGAGTCTGGCGCTCGTGACGTGATTAATGTCTGGATACACGTGGTTAAGCTTCACGCACGTGGTATAGAGGTTGGTAAAGTGGTGCAAGCACGTGTGTGGATGAACGCGAATATCGTTGCTTTGTGAATAAGCATTGTTTGTCAGCTTCCGCGACTGCTGCTGCGTGGACCAGCAACGAGGCAGTAACGAAGCAGCAGCGTAGAATGAGATATGATTAAGGGATGCTTTTTTTTTAGTTTCAGGTTATAGTGACAACGAAAATAACAAAACGAAATATATGTATACATCCAAGCCATTAATTTGATAAATCGAATTAGTCGAATTTGAACCGAAGGATGTAACGACGTTCGACGAATTCAAGTTTTCGAAATTGGACTGGGACAGCTTTACTATTACTACTTCTTTTCCACCCCGGGGAGCCTCCTTATGTGCCACTTTTCTTATTCTCCTATTTCCACGCGTTTCTCTCCTTGCATTCTTCTTGCAGTTGAATGAAAAAAAATTCTTACACCTGGTTAGAATATCCTGGAGACCTCTTACGTGCTCGTAGGCATCTGGTTGATAATAGAAAATTTTGACTTTTGATTTTGAATATTGACTTTCTCAAAAAAAATCTATGTAATCCTACCTTTACATACACTGAATCCCAGCATCTCAAATAAACCAGCTAAAGTATTTCGTCGCTCCTTATGTGCCACTTTTCTTATTCTCCTATTTCCACGCGTTTCTCTCCTTGCATTCTTCTTGCAGTTGAATGAAAAAAAATTCTTACACCTGGTTAGAATATCCTGGAGACCTCTTACGTGCTCGTAGGCATCTGGTTGATAATAGAAAATTTTGACTTTTGATTTTGAATATTGACTTTCTCAAAAAAAATCTATGTAATCCTACCTTTACATACACTGAATCCCAGCATCTCAAATAAACCAGCTAAAGTATTTAAAAAAAAAAAAAAAAAAAAAAAAATATTTTAGACAATCACCGATAAATAAAAAAATTTTCAAAATTTACAATTTTTTATATTTAATGACAAAATTCGTTAGACTTTATATTAACGTCAGAACATCCTCTTGTTAAGATTTCACTAAAAGCTAATATTTCGGCCGGACTTCATCTACCTAATATGAATATACGCATATACAGATATTTCAATTTTCAGTAAAGTAAATATAAACGTACTCACATTCGTCGCATACCAAATGCAGCTTCATCCAGTCCAGTTTTATTTGTCTCGTATATGGATATGGGAAATATTTTTTTTTTATTCTCCATGATAAATCAAATTACTGTCGGAGCCACGCACAGACGAGTAGATAGGTTAATAAATAATTAACCAACAGCGCAAGCACGATAAATATCCATACTCGTTCAATACTACCCCATCTTGTATCACGCGAGCACACTCTCCTATGTTCTAAACAGAATCCCCTGCCAGTGACGTATCTACTACTACAGGCACCTCGTAACTACTCCAGCCTTATTTCGCCCTACGGGGATGGTATGACAGCGCTATATAGGTAGACAGAGCTGCCTAACCTCACTTTTCAATCTAGAAAAAATCGTTCTATTTTTTCACTGTCGAGTTTCCACATTTTTTTTTTCACCCTCGCCATACCAAGGGGTTTATTTTATGGGGGATTTTACCACGGAGAACAAAAGTCACTGTTCTACCTAATCCGCCGTGACTTATAGTACATTCAAGCGAGGTTAGGTCAGGTTAGAACACCCAGATCCGAGTCTCAAGTCGAGCATCTTCCTTGTTTACGTTACGAGTCTTCTTCGTTCCCGAGATAAAATAAATTTTAGTGCGACCATCTTTAATATGCTTTTTAAGACAAACGAAATAAGAAAAATATAATTAAGCTTGTTACCCTGGAGTCATAAATGCTGTTTGAAATTTTACATCGATCAACGAATTTCTCCTGTGCTTTAAGCGAAAGATAAAAATACGAAAATCGTAACCGTGTATTCTTTATAAACAAAAAGCATCCCTTGCGGCCACTTATTACGGTTCGCGACACGAGTAACCCTCTATATGGGAGTGACGTCACAAGTCGACTATATGTGTTTATCTAACACATGACAGTACCATGAACTTGAACCCTGCGGCAAGTAAACAAAATGACGAGCTATAAGTTTCTGACGGGGGTGCAGTAGCACAGGGTGGGAAAATTGAGGAGTACTTGAGCACGTGCCAAAAATTAAG